GAGAGATGCGAGCAGAGAGAGAGAGAGATGCGAGCAGAGAGAGAGAGACGTGAGCAGAGAGAGAGGGACACGAGCAGAGAGAGAGAGGCGTGAGCAGAGAGAGAGAGGTGAGCAGAGAGAGACGTGAGCAGAGAGAGAGAGAGACGCGAGCAGAGAGAGAGAGCAGAGAGAGACGTGAGCAGAGAGAGAGAGACGCGAGCAGAGAGAGAGAGCAGAGAGAGACGTGAGCAGAGAGAGAGACGTGAGCAGAAAGAGAGAGACGTGAGCAGAGAGAGAGAGGCGTGAGCAGAGAGAGAGAGAGGTGAGCAGAGAGAGAGAGAGAGACGCGAGCAGAGAGAGAGAGAGGTGAGCAGAGAGAGAGAGACGCGAGCAGAGAGAGAGAGACGCGAGCAGAGAGAGAGAGACGCGAGCAGAGAGAGAGAGATGCGAGCAGAGAGAGAGAGATGCAAGCAGAGAGAGAGAGAGATGCGAGCAGAGAGAGAGAGACGTGAGCAGAGAGAGAGGGACACGAGCAGAGAGAGAGACGTGAGCAGAGAGAGAGACGTGAGCAGAGAGAGAGGGACACGAGCAGAGAGAGAGACGCGAGCAGAGAGAGAGAGACGCGAGCAGAGAGAGAGAGACGTGAGTCCGCGTGTCTATGGTCCGCGCTCGGAGCCCAGACGGCAGTGCGTTCACTGAGTTGTCAGAGCGGGGGTCACAGCAGCTGCTCTCGGGGCCAGAGCGGAGGATGTAACGTAACGTTCGGTTTATCAAAACATATCACAATATTTAACGTATAACACTAGTGAATTTCACCTAGATTTTTTCAGACATTAAAGACAAGATGTTATATAATAATTGTTTAATGAAAAAACAATTTTGCCACAAGCAACCAAAAGATGTGCCTCAGACAAGAATCGAACCTGGGTTCTCCAGGTCCCTGTATTTAATGCTAACCATTCGGCTAACATAGCACCTCTGGAGTTAGACAGGTTTGCACGCAGTCTTATACCTGAGCGTCTAAGTCGCTGGCAGAGCTAAAGCGGACTTAGCCTGCCACCTTGTGGCGATAAGATGTACTATTTTTCACGCAGCTGCGTGATTCCCGAGAAGCGTGAATGAAGACGACAAAACGGAATGGGACCTACTGTGAGATCAGGTTGGCAGTGTTCATTAGTCCTCATTGTTTGTTGTACAGTCTGACAGCAGCAGGAAGGAAAGACCTGAAGAACCTCTCGTTCACACATCGAGGTTGAATAAGTCACTGAATGTATAAGTGACTGAAGTTGCTCTCCAGAGCAGCCAGAGTGTCCTGCAGGGTGTGACAGTCATTGTCCAGCATATTTGTTATTTTGTCCAGGACCCTTTTGTCTCCCACCTGCTGCACTGTGTCCAGTGGACAGCCCAGGACAGAGCTGGCGTCTTCTTAACTCTCAAAAACGGCTTTACAGGATGGTCGAAAAGTCGTTAAATGAATGGGGCTCATGCTGGCCATGCATGCACAAATGTGTTTTTTTACATTTTCCAGACCCGGGGCCATTTGTAAACTGCCCACAGAAGGTGAATGTGGTGGCACATTTGTTTCAACGGCGGAGATAGGCGTGACCACGTCCGTTAATTTTTACAGTCTATGGCTGCCGCATGCTTGAGTGGAGCACGCAAAGAAATAAAACAAGCGGCTGATGAAGAGACAAATGCTGACGAATGCAGAGGGGAACTTGTTCCCAGAAGACACTTTACCTCCGGAATATGGGATGACAGGACCATTACAATCATAAGGACACTATCAAAATTCATTATTTCTCAAGCCTACCTGCAAAGTAGAAGAAAGAACATCATAAACAAACTAAGATCATCCTAAACAGCTGGTGCTGACAATATCTTCAGACAGAATCATCAAACAATATCAAATGAAATTGTGCAGCCTTTTGTTTACGTCATTAAGACCAATATCTATACTACCAACTATTTTGAAAGTTTCTCGCAAATGTTGTGTACTCCAGACAGCACCACATATGGCTCTACTAGATCTCATAGAAAAAATAATGACGTCCTTTAGGGCTGCACAATATTGGAAATTAGAACGATATGCGATATGTGTGTTTATTATTTCGATAACAATAATATTGAGCTATTTTTGTCTGCTTTGAACCGCAAGAGAAAAATCTTTGAAATAAATTAAGACATTTAAGACAACATTAATTACATTCAAATGCAGTATGGCATACAGCCTCAAATCTTGCCAATTCCACACACACAATATTAACGACGAGTGTGAACTTCACTATATATAGCGTATTTGCTGCAGTTAAAGCTTTGTGTCACTTCAAAGTTTTCTAATAAGGAGCAACAGAAGCGAAACTGTCATTAATGCTTGTTTGTGCATTTGCCTTTGGTTTGACCGGAGTAGGTTGTGGAGTTTGAGATTGTAAATACACAACATAAAGTACCTTGTGGTTACAGTGGCTCTGGAGTTTTGTCGTATTTCCCTTCAACGTTGCGACTATTTTTCGGCATGACTTGCAAATATCTTGTTTCTGTGATTGGCCCTGTCTTGTATAACCGATTTTGTCCCAAATTATTGTGGCAGGTGTAGGTGTGGTCATGGGTGTGGCCTGGTCACATGACCAAGGTTTTAAAAGACAGGCAACCAGGGCTCACTTCCTCTTCCTGAGCCAGCCTGTTCACAATCAGACTCTGGTGAGCTGAAAGTGTTTAGAGTGTTTTTATATTTGTATTGATTGTATATTTTAAAAATAGTTTGTTAATGTCTTTTAAGGGTTACAACAGTCCTGTCTTGTTGAGGTATGCTTTTATAAATCTTGTTTGTATTTTATAATTCATTTTATTAATTGCACTGGGTTTTATTCATAGGCCCAGTGCTGGTTGCCGGTTACTTTATATTTAGGTTTTGCTTATTTTAGTTTGTGTAGAGTTACTTTGTTGATAGCTGGGGTGACAGGGCTCTCTTTAAGTGGTGGCCTTGTTTGTAGTTTTGGTGTCGGTGGCACATGTATGTTTATGGTGATTTCTGTTGTGGGGATGGATTTCTGTTTACTTTTGTGTTTGCTTTTCATATAGACTGCCCCTCACCCCAGCTTCAAGTTTCACTGTTTTAGTTCAATAGTCCCATATGCTGTTTTTAATATACTTATGTAATGTAAATAAAAGCTGCCATAGGGCTGTTGGACCCACACTGACTGTCTGGCTTTGTTATTGAAGCTCACCTGCATTCTACAACACTACAGTGTTACATTATCTTTTAGGAACAAGTTCCTCTCTGCATTCGTCTGCATTTGTCTCTTTGTCATCCGCTTGTCTTGTCTCTCCGCCTGCTCCACTCTAGCGTGCACTGTTTGTCACAGTGCACGTACAAGAAGTGTATACATATATTTCAAAGTTATTGCGCATATTTTTTATATGGATATTGCAATTGCACAAATTTCCCCACTGTGGGACAAATAAAGGATCTCTTAATCTCAATGCCGATATTTTTTTTGATATATTGTGCAGGCCTAATGCAATTGAAAAAAACAAGTTCAGTATTGGTGTCTTTTGACCTTTCGAAGGCATTCGACCTCATAGATCATGAGACATTGCTTGAAAAATGAATACACTATGGTGTCAGGGGAGTAGGGTTAAAATGGTTTACAGTAGAAGTTATATCTGTGGAAGGCAACAATGTTAATGTGGACGGACAAAACTCTAACTGAAAAATAGAAATCAGTGTCGCACAAAGATCTATTATGGGACACTTCTATTTATAATTTCTATAAATCTATGGTTAAAATATAATAAACTTTCATTGAACAGCAATATAATAATTTAAGTACAGTACAACACACTGAAATACAGAATACCATATCCATGGTCAGAAATGTTCAGCTGCTTGAATAACCTGATTTACAAACGATGAGTCATCGATGTCACCTTATCACCACTTAATCACAATAAATGTAAATCAGCGGTTATTACTTTCATTAATGTCAACACAGAGATAGACATTAATAAAATGACTGAGGAGTGAATAGACTAGATTCCTTGATATTGGATAGATTCGAACATGCTCTGTAAGAGGAGACAAACACTGCAGTGCAGTTAGCAGGTCCCATATGTACTTGTTTTAGAGGAAAATGGGGGATTGCCACTAAGTAACGAGAAGTCACAAACTAGGAAATTGCTTGGCTTTCAATGCCATTAAGAATAAGGCATGCATATAAAGAAAATAAAACATCTACATAACTTTTCTTAAAATAGGAAAACAAATCTATAATCGTATATATTTACAGCTCCTGCTGTTCATTAATACATACTGTCATTGTACAAGTAAAACAAAAGCTGTTTTCATAATTATGTTTGTCATACTTAAAATCAAATACAGGACTTCTAAAGATTTGAATTGACTTGTATGCAGAGATATAGCATATATTGCATGCGTGTAGTAAATGCTCAAATGGTTTCTTTTATTGAGTTTGTTTCATATGTGCAGTATGTGGTTACACCTGGCTGTATATTTTATCAGGTGTCATTTTCAGATTCACCAGACCAAGAAAAGCTAGTCAGGACATCACAGAGCAGTGTTGATAATAGGAAGGGATCGGTTGGATGTCTCTGGTTAATGACTAATGGCCAGCCCTTGAAAACGACATTGCATTTACATGACAGGCGTGTCAGGAGATGATTGAGTGTGACACGCTTGGCCCTTGCTGCTAAACTACGATCTCTTATAATTTGTCAAAAGTCTTCATTTGAATGAAGACTTTTGTAAGAATGAGTCTTCCAATTTCCATATTGCTCAGCACCAGAAGGATAAGAAGTGAGTCATTAATTTGCACATATAAATTTAGAATTTCAAAATGCACCAAATCATTAATTTATTGGTGATAAAGGGAAGTTATACAATGTCAATAGAGCATTTTAAACTCACTTGAGTGTCCTTGTGTCAACTGAGTGAATTTCTGATTTGATGTGACATAGAATGAATGCATAAACAGCAAGTGGTGTGCTGCTTTTCCCTTCAGACCGAGGCTACTGCCACTGTGGGACGTGTGAGTGTGATGAAGGCTGGTTCGGTGAGGCCTGCCAGTTCCAGGAAGACTGCATCCTCTCAGGCAAGAAAAGCAGAGAGCTATGTAGAAATCCACAAGGCGTCGTCTGCTCCAACAAAGGTACACACCATAGTGTAACATTGCATGTACTGTAGACATAGACTATCGATGAATACTACATATACTCCTTACATACTACATGTTGAACACAAGTCTAACAATATTGCATGGAATACTTTTCCTTTTATAACCCTTTTATAATAATGTGTTGTGTTGTAGCAGGTAACTGTGACTTCCTTTACAGGCACTTGTAACTGTGGTAGCTGCCTGTGTCACAACAAGGACAGCAGAGGCCTAATAACGGGACAGTTCTGTGAATGTGACGACAGCGAGTGTTTGGATGAGGACAGTGGAGAGGTGTGTGGAGGTATGCCATACACAACAATCATAATTTATTTGGATTGTGTTGTGAATATTATCATGGCTTTGTGGTCAGATAATCTGCTTATTGAGCATCTTCACCAGATATGGAACCATGCTGTCATTTTTATATATCAGAGCAAAATCTGTGTAAGAGGCGTCTGAGCTGGGAGCACCCCTTTAAGATAGACTTTATTGATCTCACACAGGAGAAATTTACATGTCGCATCTGGCATGCATAGAATCACTCAAGATTTGTGCAAAGAAAGAAGTGTGCAAAATTGTTAAATGCAAGATACATTATGCATAATAAAAAAAGTGGCAATTAAAGAAAGTGGCAATAGTAGTGCAGGTTTTTAATTTTTTGTCCTAGTGCAAGTGACTTAAAGTGACTTGTTGTACAGTCTGACAGCAGTGGGCATAAAGGCCCTGCGGTAGCGCTCCTTCTTGCACTATGGGTGTCTCAGTCTTCCACAGAAGGAGCTCCTCAGCTCCTCTACAGTCCTGTGCAGTGGGTGGGAGGTGTTGTTCATGATGGAGGGGACTTTGACTAGGACCCTCCTGTCCCTCACCTCCTCCACAGAGTCCAGCGGGCAGCCCAGAGTGGAGCTGGCCCTCCTGACCAGCTTGGTCAGTCTGCTCCTGTCCCAATCTGTGATCATAAAAAGTCCTGAGCAGAGGCCTGCTCAGTCCCCAGAAGGAAGAGGCGACTTTGACCCTTCTTGTACAGGGCGTTGGTGTTATGGGACCAGTCCAGTTTATTGTTATTGTGAACACCCAGCCTTTTAGGAAAAAAGAAAATCAATTATACACGTCTGACAGACATATATCATCTGAATGCCAGGATTCAGCATGTGCCAAAGATCAACCACTCCAGTATCATCAGCCTTGAAACTGAGTGCTTCGCAAAAACAATTTTTGCCAGGACGTTGAGAAAGACAAGGTTGATCTACAGAAAGGTAAATGTAAAAATGTGGGCACAAACTTCTCAAAGAAAGTGATTGAAAATAGTTAGCTAGACAAATGTTATCCTCTCTTGAATGGTTTTTAGGTCTAAAACTTGCCCCTGAATTCTTTGCCAAAAAGGGGCCAGCTCGGCCTCCAATGTTGAAATATGAAGCTCCACAGTGGTGTGGTGTCTCAAATGATGGTGATCTTGTGAACCCACTTGAAAACATGGCTGATTTTAACATCTATGACAGATTTCAAGTCAAGAAGAGAAATACTCCATGACATGGAAGCTTGCAAACGGGCAATTATTAGCCAGCAAAGGGATGGTATTCTCCTCTCCAGCTTTTTACTCGTCAGGATAAAATAAGGTCTTATTTCAGCCACAACCAAAACCAGCGGTGGCAGGGAAAGAGAAGAATACAGTTTCCTTGGACGGCTGAATTATTTATTTTACTCTCTACAAAGACAGAAGTTTATTCTCATACATTCAGGAAAAAGTCTTTTGTTTCCCTATACTGTCTTCAGGTTTACAGTGGTTTAATTTGTATTGTCTGTGAAGTTTTTTTGTGGAAGTTGAGTTGTCCTGATGTATTTGTGTGATGTGCTTCCAGGCCATGGCCAGTGTTACTGTGGAAACTGCTTCTGTGCTGCCGGTTGGCATGGAGACAAATGTGAATTCCAGTGCGACATGAGCCCATGGGAAAGCAAACGGAGATGTACATCTCCAGATGGCAAAATCTGCAGCAACAGAGGTCTGTTTGACCGGAAGGTCCAGCACGCAATGTCCCACCATTACACTCACATTCTATTCCACTGACCAATATTTGGTCTGTCAAAGCACATGTGTAAAACACTATTCTGAACTTTCGTTTTGCTTAAACTTAAATTGATCAAAGATCACACCAGATAAATTGGTACAAAATAAGCTTTGCCATTTCCAAACAAAAGAGCGATTAAGTGTTGAGTGTAATTTTGAATTTTCTTGTAAATATTTTAAACACTGATGCTGTTCATGGTTATTCATTGACAAAACTAACCAACCATGTTTTTTACAAATTCACTTTTAAATATAATTTGGAGGATGTCCAGTTAATTTAGTTAATTGTTGTGTATTTCCCAATTCTCATTATTATTTAAATAATCTTTCTTTGAAGCATGGCAAAGATAACTCCAGGTAATTAAACCAGATCACATAAATTGATTACACAGGCATGTTGATTTTAATTAATCCTTTCAAAGTAAGCGTTCAAGAATTGCAGAGACCTCCTTCTCGCTTTGCTGTAACCTCTACATTATTCCGATTTAATTTCCAGATAAATCCAAAATGAATGTTTCATAACAAAGACTTCTACTGTATATCATGTATCATCTTCGCCTATTTGACAATCAAAGCTTCAGTCGGCAGTATGTGTGGTAAACCTGTTGGAGGTAATTTATAGTGCAGACATCAACACAAATGCCTCTGTAAATCTTATGTTTTAGAGACAAGCAGAGCAGAGCAAACCTCAGCCAGGGGCCAGACATGCACTATCCCAGGTCCTGAGTCCTGCCAGCTGGACAGGCTCCCCTGGGGTTCCCTGAGCTCTGTCAGGCCTGATAAGAGAAAATGGGATTTCCACTGGCTGCTGCTCAGTTGATGGCCTGTCTCAAACTAAGAACCAACACATAAAAGATAATTTGTGGGATAGACTGGGTAGTTTAGTGTCTCTACAGAACTTTAAACCACACAATTGAACTGGGAGAGGATTTCTGTTCCCTTTTTAGATTTTTGCACCTAAAACATGTAAGTCCTGCATTGAACTGTATGCTGACATTAGTGGTCCTGATTATGAAGATGATGATTCTTATTATCATCATGTCTAAGAATCTACTGTGTTATCAGGTACGTGTGTATGCGGGGAGTGTAATTGTCACGACGTGGACCCCTCTGGAGACTGGGGGGACATCCACGGCAACACATGTGAATGTGACGAGAGAAACTGCCTCTCTACATATGACAGGTACACGGATGACTTCTGCTCAGGTCAGTATACCAGCTTCACATGTGGTTGTCTTTATGTATATTGAGCTTGCCTTTGAGAGCAGAATATTTGATATTCTTGAGCCTTAAATGTTTTCCATACAGATGTTTCAGCTCCCATCAGAAATCACATTCAAATCTAACCATGAGATCATCTGAGAACTGGATTTAAGCATGGTGCTGCCCTTTCTGAGACTTTGAATCTATTGTTTACACCCTATTGTCCCGACCTGAGACACTCAGGCACATTAAATATTGGAGGAAACTGATTTATCAAGGTCATGTGCAGGACTAATTCCACTATTTCCCACTGCACCCAGAGTTTAGCACCTGGATTGATAAATATACCCCTAAGTGCATTGACAAATTATTCAGTCAATGTTCTACTCCACTTTTATACGATTTAAGTTACCCCTTTCTGTCTTTGTCTCCTGTTCCTTGTCTCAGGTCATGGCCAGTGTAACTGTGGCAGATGTGACTGCAAAGAGGGTTGGGCAGGGTACAAGTGTGAGCACCCGCTCTCCTGCTCTCTGTCCACAGAGAGCAGCCTGAAGAAGTGTCGAGGAACGTCCAATCTGCCTTGCTTCGGCCGAGGTATTGCACATGCTCCAACAATTCTGTTACCATAGTTACACAACAGGATATAAAGATGTCTTAGAGACAGAGGCCCAAAAAAACGTGCAGGTAAAAACTACCTGTTTTTGTGGTTTCAAAGTGAGGTATGGAACCTTTTATCTATACTTAAGCAACTCTCTATTAAAACTTGTGGTTCAATGACTCCAGATTTATTACAGTCTGCCGTCATTAGTGCTTCCTCTGGACAAAGTAAACTCATTTTATCTTGTTGTCTTTTTTCCTCTCTGAGCACCAAATGTTAGCCCCCAGTTAATCAGGTTTTTGCTGAACTATACTGTAAAGTCACTGTTACTAAACAAAGGTTGTGCCTGAGTTCTGTCCCAGTCATGCACCCCTGAGCCTGAAGATTAATGGCCCAAAAGAGCGGCATTCTTTACAGCAGATTCTTCACACAAGGAAGAGACTTTAAACCCGACGCAGTAGTGTTGATTGTTAATGATACATTATGGTATAATGTTATTGTCAGATTATGGTATGCAAAGTGAATATGGTATGCGTGTTTAGTATCTGTTTGTACCTGAACCTAGTACAACTGAACCATGCTGGTACTAAAGATCTCTCTGGTATCTTGAGTACCAGTATATTCTTTTTCTAAAACAACAGGACACAGAGTCAACTATTTTACTCAGACCTGTGACAGACCGAAAATAAACATTTATAGTCACAGCGGACACACTGGCTCCTCCTACGGGATGAAAACGGCACGTGAGCATGGCAATACACATGAGCACATAGTAAGCTAGCTAAATAAAAGGTACAGAAAAACTAAAAATGTGCGCTAGAAAATGTGCAAAAGTATATTCATTGATCTTAATACATATCCTACTAAACATATGTTAGTGAATATTGTGGAAAGTAAAGCAAATTGACAGTGGCTCAGTTGGTAGAGCATTGGCCTTTGAGCCTGAAGGTCGTGGGTTCGAGCCCACCATGAGACCTTCTCCACCAACTCCCACTGTTGACTGTTGTCGTTGTGTCCTTGGGCAAGACACTTAACCCCACTTTGCCTGAAGCCCCCACTGAAAGATCAAGGCTCCTGTGGACTCACCACTTGCAGGAGGATCAGTGAGGGGCTCGTGCTATGTGGACTGGGTGGCATCTCTGGCCACCCCCCCAGAAATGGATTAAGGGGAAGAAAATGGATGGATGGATAAAGCTAAATGATTGAACATTTTTCACAGAGAAAAGACTCACCCTCTGAAGCATACAACCAGTGGGGGCAGGTCCCGGCTCAAAAGTGGCCAAAATGATGTGCACTGACATGCTTGCAATACCACCCCGGGCCGATGGGGGTGGACCCAGAAGAAGAATTAGCCAATGCTAACATATAGCATTGGCAGACCTCTCAAAAACGTCTTTACAGGATGGACCAAAAGTTGGCTCTTGGCCCAAAGCTCCGTTCCACATGTGTGTCGATGCTGAGGGGGGTGGATTTTTTTGGTCCACTCTAGTTTACTTGCTGTGAATTTTTGAAGTCTCTCGTTCAAATGAATGGAGCTCTCGTCGGCTGACGCATGCGCAGATGAGTTTTTTCACAATTTTCTTGTGGGTGGGACCACTCGCGGCCATTTTGGATAGCTCCAGTAGAGCACATTTTTTGGCCCATTAACAGCGGAGATAGGCGTGACTCTGTCCGTTGATATATACAGTCTATGCATACAGAGGGAAAGTTGATTACCAAAATAAAACACAGCGGAGAGGCGCACACTTCCAGGAATTTCAAAATAAGACGTCAAAATAATAAAATTCACAGAAAATTAAATTCTAAAATAAAATACAACCAGGAATTGTAAACAAAAAATATAAAGTGCATTTCTATATCCGTTACACTTGTATAAACTAATATGTGCATTTTGAACCCGTGTTGGTTATGTTACTTTAAAAGGTAATTAGTCACAGTTAATAATACCAATGCTATGCTATTGAAGGGCAAAAGTTACTACCAGCCTAGGGAAGAACAAAAAAAAAACATGAATATCAAACCCCCACACAGATCACCAGAGCCGGTGATAATCGCATATGCTTATGATTCAAACGCACACATTTAAAGTGATAGTTTGTAACTCTAAATGAATTACAAATTTTAGGAAATGTGTTAAATTGACCTCCTGGTCATTTTATTAATTCTAATATTACAGGTAAGTCCCGCCTTCCCTTCTCTTAGCTATAGCTCAGAATCCACGGTGCCGTCGAGGTTAACCAATCGAGTCATGCCAAGGACTGTCAATGCTGAACATATGCGCTGAGGTACTTATGTATATACTGAACCTATATCCATAATCAGATCCTCTGCAGATGTGTCCTATAATGTTCAATTCCTGATAATAGCTTGTTCCGGGTTTGCCGCGATCGCTTTTTTTGTGCATAAAAACCTTATTTTTTTCATTAAAACGTTAACAAATAATTCTATTATTAATAATGTATATGTATAATGTGTTCTCTGATTAACATTTAAAAGTGTTACGGAAACGTAGGTGTAGACCAATCAGAAAGGAAGGGGGAGGGAGTTTGCGTCGTTTTTTTCAAATCAAGCATTCTGACAAACTCCAGACAATCACTTTAATCACAAAATACACATTTGTTGTGATCAGGAAGAGAGGGAAAAGTGTGGGTTTCACTAAACCATTGAGATAAGTAATTTAGTAATCCTGATTGGGTCACTGTCATGTCAGTTCAGTTTGTTTACCCGATGAAAATCTCTGCTCCAGGATCCTGTTTAAGACATTTCGAAAACATGAGAGTACTCAAAGTAACTAGCCGCAGCAAACTGAAAATAACAATAATGAAGCTACAGGCATGGTGGCGCAGTGATTAGCACTAATGTTTCACAGCAAGAAGGTTCTGAGTTCAATTCCACCTCTGATCAGCGCCTTGTGTTTGCATGTTCTCACTGTGTCTGTTAGGTTTCTTCCCCTACTGCTAGCATAGACTAAGTGGTGTATTCATGCACTGTCCCAAACAAATAAACAACAGCAGCAGTAGCCAAAGTTATTCCTACTTACTGACAAAAATAATGATGTTAGTTATTACCAACACAGCTTTTCATTTTTTAGGGTCATCCATTGCAATAACTGACGAACTGCAACTGTTAGTTGGAGAAGAAAAGAGTTGTTGTTCATGGGAGTATCCTGAAGTACTTAATAAAAGTTCTTTGCCCCCTCTGGTTAAAATGGTGAGAATACATATTTTATGGGCTATTACAAGAACTGATTTAGTCGGTTCCAATTCATTTTGCTTTGAATCATTTAATATCTTTTGCATTACTGCCACAAAAAAATACTTTTTTTGTTCAAACTGACTTTATGTCCTGTTTGATGCGCCTTTACTCAAACTAAAAATCAAGTCAATACTGTTTTCCACTCTCTCAACTCAACTTCTATGAATAAGAGACAGCTGGATCAATCAGTGTAAAAATAAAATAAAAAAAAGAAAGATAAATGTTTTTTCATCTATCCTTTGACATGCATTTATGACTTCAATCCTTTGATATTTATTTATGACGTACCCCGCTACCACGAACATGCATGTCTTCCCCATGGAAATATTAAATAGCCGTTCCCAGGATTGTCATAAAATGGACTCTGAGACACAAAACTGTAGATTTTGTGATGGAACTAAAACAATACACAATGGTCACTGGGCTCATGTCTTTGAAGATAAATCACAGATCGTCTTTATTATATCCCTTGGACCTGGAATTTTCTTTGATACAGCAGCTTTAATCAATCAGCTCTGCACTACAGTACAAGACTTGTCTACATTTCTCTGCACTAAAAGTAGAACTTGGGCCTTTGATTGTGGGGATAGGCTTATTGTGTAAATAGAGGCTATTGCTGTTCGGTCTAAACCCTCAGTGGATTTATCAGGGTTAATGTTTAGCATTGATTTCCTGTTTCATTGGCATGTGGGCGGAGGCAGTCACCAGAGACTTGCAGCCTTTTAAACATGACTACGGCAAATAAAAAAGAGTGGGTGTACTGCACTGACTTAACTGCTGATATAATACTATGTTTGTAAAAAACACTATACTTTCCCACTAAGAAATCAACAAACGCTGCATATATTCAATACAACACAGCAACTTGCATAATGAAACAGCAGAGATTAACTTGGGCTTTTACAAAGTCAATTAGCTTTAACTCCGGCAGTTACCTTTAGATTATCTCCAATTCTTGGCATAAAATTCAACCTTAAATTTCTCGGCACGGTTGAGTAATTAATTGAATCCATAAATTCTTTTTTGAAACACCATTTTCTTTTTATCATTTGATGATAAAAACATCTTTAATTGTCATAAATAAGATTACACGAGAGAGTGAATGAAATCATAGCTATTGTCAAATGTTTGGATCTAGACGAAGTGTAAATGTAGGTACACTGTTTCTGTTGTAAACTAGTAAATCTAAAGCCAAGAAGACAGGAACAAGAAACTGGGGAGGTTGTTTGTGGTTAATCCAGTGAAGGACAACAGTGTGTGGGGGGCATGGGGAGCTGAAGGAGAGGAGCAAAAGTGGAGGAGACAGACGTAAAAAATCACTTAGGCATGGATGAGCGTGCCGCTGCAGATGGCAGCCTGAGCGGAAAGCCTTGAAATTTGAAACTGCAGCTCCAGAGTTTCTCTTCCTGAGAGACAGCAGCGCGGCGCACATTCTTTATACTGAGGTATTTCCTCAAGGAAACACCTGCTTTCAACATCTCTCTGTTGATTTGTCAGATTCTTTCTCTATACCATTAACTTTCCAATACCTACACATACATTGGGTGTTGTTAATGGTAATAAAACTAAGTATTACAACAATTAACTCCACACTAAAACCGATGTTGGTTAAATTTCACCTGTTTTTGATTGATTTAACCTTGTCCAGTTATGTATCCAACAATTCTTTTGGTTAACACAACCAATCTATAAATGGTTGTGTCTTCATCTACATTTGTCATAGCCAAATTCAATATTGGTTAGAATGACTAATATTGTTGACCGTTTACTACTTATCATTCATGCACACACCAGACTGTCGCACCTTGTGTTTCCCAGAGCACGGTACCAGAAAACTTCTGAGATCTGTCATCAGGCTTTCACATGCAGGTGGGCCCGAATATAGTAGTACGGAGGTACCATGGTAGTTTTTTCAACCAATCCATCTTAATCTATCTAAATTCATCAATCCAACCAATATCAGTTTAACCAATTTGATTGATTGGTCCACTCTGCTTCACTTTCACTTGTTCCATTCTTGTCTGAGCTGTAGAAGCGTCTATCACAATATTCCCTGTTCTTGAACTTTTGGGTGGATTCAGTGAAGTTGTTAAATATATGCAATTACTGTACATACATTTTTCCAACCAACATTTGTTTCTGCCTCTTCTTGATTAGAACATTTACAGTGAAACAATACTTTGGATGTTGATTTGTTCACTAACCCTATTTTATTAGTATTATTATTATTATTATTCTCATTATTTTCTATGGAAAGGCCTCAATTCTACACAGTCTTAAGCCTGTGACTCCACAATCAAACAACATCAAATGTTCCCAGTAATTCATTTTCAATACGTTGATTGAATTACTGGCTTTTCTTGTCAAGAAAAACAATATTGATAAAAACTCTATGATGTGCGTGACAACCTGCCAATATATTCACACTCAATCTGGTACAAACACGATAATACTTGGTTTATGCCATCATGTGGTTGTCATGGTAACTCATCTTCAGAGAAGATGGCATTTCTTTGAGTGAGTGCATGCTTGACTGTGTGTTTACCCTGTAAGGGCTGCTCTTTGTCACCAATGTCACTCTTCTGTTTGGTTTGGAGTCTGCAGATGATGTGTTGGCCTTGTCATTAAGAAAGCCTTACAGGCCACCCAGAGGAGGACCTGCTTGAAGGCAGAGGCACAGCAGGGGCTGGGCAAGACACAGCTTTTGGACTAGAGTCACATGTTCTATGCCTATGCCACAATGCCTTACAGAAAAAAAACTCACAAGGACTTGTGCATGCAAGTTTCATCTTCACATGTTTTGAAATAGGAAAAGTTCTGCCTGCAACTGTAGAGCATGTACACATTTTTCACAAATTGACAATCTGAGTAGGAAAGGGAATGAATATTTGAACTATTTTACGCTTACTAAATCATGTACAAGCACCGGCACACGGCGGGGATTATTCTTCGACCATGGATTCTTGCAGTGATTGGATAAAAGGCCAGTTGGCTTCATTGGACTTGGCAGACACAACTTCATGTGTTGATTTCGCTTATTTTTGAACAGTGTTAAACTGCACTTTTGCTGGAGGATTATATAACATGTTATATGATGACTCTAGAGACAGTGTTTTCTTTAAGTAGTGGTGTGGTTGAAGTAAATACTATTGTAATCTTTGGTACAATATTATGGCCAGGACAAAGGCCTCAGCCCTGATGGACTTCAGAAACTCCTCACTACGTTATTGGTAAATATAGCAGCTTGCTGAGGATTTGGATGAAGAGTTTAATGTGTCCTTGACTGCCCTTGACAAGTTTATAAGGGGTCAAATAGCCGTGGATAATTAGGACTAACAGCCCAAAAGTAGTTTATACTCGGACAAAGACAAAAAAATTAAATCAAAAGACATAAAGTTATATTAGTCAAGTGAAAAGAAATAATACTCCCACAGCTCGAATTAAAAGAAGCTCTGTCCATAAATACCCTACCCATGCCCAATTTTATCAGCTGTCTGTCTGAACACATGCGGCTTATCCTTCTAAGTTCACATATAGTTTTGTATTATAATGAGGGGCACCATTAGCAGTGTGCAGGCTTACTCAATATGCTCCCTGTAGTCTTCCTCTGCGGCAGCACTCTGATTGAAGTGGGATTTCGACATGCTGGGGTGTGTGGGGGTATAACATGATTGATTCCAAAATACTACTACATGTGTGACTGAGAGACACTCCATCAATCTGGTAGTCTATTTTTAAAGCTCAGACATTGTAGTAGTGAAACACTTGCTTCTGTTTTTTAGGCCAGTGCCTGTGTGGTCAGTGTACGTGCCACCCTCCAGGGGACAGTCGAGTTCATGGTAAAAACTGTGAATGTGATGACCGGCAGTGTGAGGACCTGAGCGGAGACGTCTGTGCAGGTGAGTGAGTGCACAAACACTCAAAACCAACATATTTTAGCAAGAACATTGTTTTTCCGTCATTGCTTTGGTTTTGGATCAATTTCCAGCTTATGTGCAAACAAAACAAATGTTTTTGTACAGGGTTATACTCAATATAAATATTAATGAAGATTGTAACGCTAAGAAAGTGTGCTATTCTATTTACAGATATGTATCTTAGTTGGTGCGCTGCTTAGTCCTACTATCTTCTATGTGCGCTGCAACACCAACATTTCCCCACTGTGGGACAAATAGAGGTTCTCTTATCACCTGTAAGGAAAGTTGATGTTTTTCCTCTGAACTTTTGCTGAAACGTTTTGTTTTATTATCCCTGTACAATGTCCAGTCAAGTGAGTCTAAACTTGAGCCAATTATACTGTGAATACTGGTATAGTCTTGTATGTCTATCAACCCAAAACATCCATACATTCTCCTTCAAAACCTCACAATAATTCATCACAATAAGTGATAGTTTTAGAAATAGATACATCCCTGAAGGCTCTCCTAGCATCTTTTTTTAATTTAATAGCCTACTTTTTGTGGATTTATGTGCAGTCTAAGCTAAGAAATAAGAAAATAAATACAAACAAATTATAAAGCACAAAACAACTTTTTCAGTGCTACCTCAGACGTCCTGCCTTCGAATCAAAACACTAAATCATGTGTAATGGATATAGTCTCACTAAAACCTCTGAAACATTATAGTGTATTATAAAAAGTGGCTTAAATTTAAAGTAAATAACAAACAGCAGCACAATATATGGCTCTGTGGAAATTCAGCGGAAGCTAATTGAATGAGGACCCAGGTACTATAGGAGTTTCTCTAAAGCAATTAGGTTCTCGCCATCGCTGGCTGAGTGAAGCAGTCATGCACAGGAGTTTGACAAAACCACTGTCATTAACATTAGTGTACACTATATGTAAACTATATGTGCACAGAAACCAGAGATCAGTGGAGACAGCAGGTGGCAGTATTTAATATTTGCATTTTTTGTGTTTTTTTCCTGTGTCCACCTCTGGAGCAAAAGTGCTGGAAAATCACCAAAGACCACATTAATCATATTTTTCTGAAACACAAAAAATACAGTTCGTAAACTAGTGAACAGTGTGTTCACTGACGGGTTTAGTTACTGTAATAACATTATTATTATTAAGTAAATACATAATGTAGTGTAAGAGATTGCTTTGAAAAAGAATAATAATAATCAAACCTGACATTACAGTTACAATGCTTTCCAGATGTAGTTACTCCGATCAGGAGCAGCAGAAGTGTGTGAGTTATTTTACACTGTAACTAAGTATTTAAGTATCTAGTATTTATTACAAACATTAGAAAAGTTTGATATAAGCAATCTTGTCAATCTAACTAAGACATAATAATGGTGAACCAGCATCACATGTTGCCTGAGGGAAAGGTTAACTAACTAGAAAACTATTTATGTGCAATTTACTTCAGTTGGTGAAGTTGTTGTTTGGAGCAAAGATACAAACCACAATAGGTTTTGTGACTCTCTATATGGCGATGTATGATTTAGCCCATCCATCCATCCATCCATCCATTTTCTTCCCCTTAATCCATTTCTGGGTTGGGGGGGTGGCAGTCAGAGCTGCACCCAGTACACTTAGCACCAGCCCCTCACTGATCCTCCTGCAGGTGGCGAGTCCACAGGAGCTGAGATCTTTCAGTGGGAGCTTCAGGCAAAGTGGGGTTAAGTGTCTTGCCCAAGGACACAACGACAGTAGTCATCAGTGGGAGTCGTGATGTAGGTCTTATGGTGGGCTCGAACCCACGACCTTCAGGCCCAAAGGCCAATGCTCTACCAACTGAGCTACTGTCGCCCCAATTTATTATTGATTATTGATTTAGCCCAGTGTCTCCCAAAGTGGGGTCCGTGGCCCCCTGGTGGGCCGCGAGGGTACTGCAGGGGGGCCGCGGGAGGTCATAAAAAAAATAATATAATTATTTAATGTTACATTTATAATGTTTTGTTTGTAATATTAAAATATTTGTGTTCATTATTTGACTTGAATAATCCACTGTAATCATTTTTGTATTACAATGTTTGCAGCAGAGGCTATTTCCCCAAAATAAAATAACCAGAAGAGCCTATTCTTAATGTTGTCTTCTTGGTTATTATTTTGGGGGGCCACGCAGACCCGTCAGATTTTTAAGGGGGCCTCAGTGTTACTGAGTTTGGGAATGGCTGATTTAGCCAATTGGAGCAATAAAGTGGCACAAAGCAATAAAGTATAAGGGGCCACTTACAGCCTCATGAACTGCACAACAGTACAGAGCAATCAGGCCTGGACACCATGCTCCAAGTGCTTGTTATAATTATGTCATATTGTCTGTGCACAGCACAAAATTGCAGCCTAATTGAATCTATACATCCCTCAATAAAAGTCCCTGCAGCGCAGTGCAGCACTGTATGGATTCATATAGATTTATAGGTATGGAAATAATAGCAAATCACCTCTTCATACTGGTGTCTTCAACCAGATGTGAGCATAAAAGGAACGAATCGATGACACTGCCTTGTCCCCTATTGTATGATTTAAAACCTTTCACATGTGTGAACTTTGAGTGATTTTTCCCGAGGGACTTGAATGTGGCATTGTGTACAGGGCTTGTTCTCCTTCTGAAATAATCCGTACTCTGCCTTCAAACCAATGAAAGCAGTTCTGTCAATATCTGGCCACGCATGTGTGTGTTTTCCTATATGCACCGCTGTTTGTCAACATTTTTCATCTCGCCTCTGAAGGGATGGAGATTTATTAGGGCCGGACAAGACCAATGATGACAGTTGCTTTCATGTCCCCATGAGAAATACAATAAGCCCGCTGTGTCTCTCTCATCTTCTCGAGGCTCCGTCTCCTTGTGCTGCCTATTAGTGTCAAGGTTTGCGGTCTTCACTGTCAGCGCTCAGCTGTTTATGTGGCTTCATGTTATCTGTTTACTCTTTGTCGGCATCCATCTTGACTTTTCACCTTGAATAGATTAGCCATTGATTTGTGCTTCTATGTGTGTTTGTAACCCAGCATATCAACGCCTAAAGCTCAGAAAGCTGAAATAAATATGAAAATATATGAAATGAAATGTAGTGTGTTCTTCTGTACAGGTCATGGCTATTGTTCATGTGGCCGCTGCATCTGTCAGGACGGCTGGTTTGGGAAGCAGTGCCAGTTGGCCAGGGCTTGTGACATGAGTGATGACCAGAGTAAGGAGCTGTGTGAGACTTCTGATGGGGTTGTTTGCAATGGAAAAGGTAAATTTATCATTTTGATGTTATTTTATATTATTTTATTATAATTTATATTTTTATGTGTTTAGAGTTCCAGGTTATTTGTCTTATTTTAAGCTTCTTGTAAATGCCAGGTTTGTGATTACTGCACTTGCAGTATGTCCATCAAGGTGTCAGAAACACAACTCGTTCTTCTATTGTCCAGGTCCAATGTCCATTGGAGGTACAATTAGGGCCATATAGAAAAGCTACTTGCAGAAACTGTTAGCTGTGGCCCAAGAAGACACATCCGACAGGGGTAGATTTGTTTCCCTGTTAGCAGCCTCTCTTTCCACTAATCCTCAGTACCTTGTTATCCGGCAGCTGGCCCGTCACAGAGAAAAATAGACTCTGATTGCAGGGACAGGAAGTTTAAAGTGTGGGCGGCTTGTATCCTGGTGACACAAGTGAATTAGTGGTTGTTCCCTGTGGGGAGGCTCTCGATGCAATACAAGTCCTGGAGAAAGTATTGAAGTATAAAAAGCAATCAAAATATCCTGTTGAGTTTACTGCATGCATCTATTTAAAAAAAAAAATCAAATATGTTGATTTAAATGGGTTTTCTTTCCATCAAAATGTGGTCTAGTGATCACACAGCGCCTAACAGAGGAGTAATTTAGAGACGGTGCATATTGCTCATTTAATCTCTCATTGATCGACCATAGTTGTTATTGGCTGGATAGAAACCGTAATTGAACCGTGTTGTGCTGTGTGCTTCAGGTTCCTGTCACTGTGGCCAATGCATTTGCTCTCCTCAAGAGTGGTGGGTGTCTGGCGAGTACTGCGAGTGCGACGACAGGGACTGTGACAAACATGATGGTCTTATCTGCACAGGTACCACTGCTCTACGCTACACTTATCCAGAAAAGAAAGTGTCCAGTTTACAGTAGCATCTTTTGGGAGTGAGCCGTCACATCATCACATATCATTCGTCGTGTATGCTAGCAATGATTTTGGCTCCAGGCTTGTCAAAACACAGGCAGCTGTTGAGAGGCGTTCGTCGTCATGATTCCATAAACCCAAATGTCAGCCTTAATGTCAGATAGATGTTGCTGGGTTTCACATGCTAACACTGCTTATGAAAAGAATCACATATGGCTGGTAGTAAATGTTCTTCATTACCATATTATTGACTAGACTATATATATATATAGACTATATATGATAATTACCCTATGCAAATTACATCCGAAATGAATCCTTACTCCAGTAGAAAACAATCATGGGTTATATAACGTTTGCAGATAACTATTGTCATGCAGTACATTATAAAGTGCAAAAACTATGGTTTAATTGTATTATAATTTATACATATATATTCATTAGTTTGGATTCTTTCTATTAGTAATGTCCTCTACTATTATGATGTTCTTTGAGAGAATGTGAAAAGCACAAATTAAAGCTCCAATGTTTAGCTTTATGTCTGAATATAAAAGGCAAAAGTGTCATTTATCAGTGGTCCAAGCATTCATTATAGACTTTCCTCTTAATTAAGATGGCAGCCTTTCCACAGTTCTCGGTCACACCAAACGGTGGCTCAAGTATTATATCGGACTCTATTCCTGGAGCTTGGAGTTGTGCTGGGGGACCAGGAGTGTGAAGAGACAGACCCTGTTATAAAGGTCGACCATGTTGGTGCATTGCGTTTAATTCACAGCTTTTCCTCTCACTTCTCTCACAGGGAATGGACTGTGCAACTGCGGCAGCTGTGAGTGCTGGGACGGCTGGACAGGGAATGCATGTGAGATCTGGGTGGGGGCCGAGTACTGACGAGCGTTTGACCAAGTGCCCAGGGTGACAGGAGACACACGCCCTGTGGACGAACGACTGGGGAGCAAAGGTGGAAGACGGAGACGGGGGAAATGGGAAGGACTTGAACAAGAGGCTCTAACATGCAGCACTGGTTACAAACCAGGGAAACTGCAGAAAATGAGTTTGTGCTATGTGAGAGTGGTTATTTTAAAGGCCATTGTATTGAAATCTTCTGGAGAAAAAACATTGATTAAATGTAAGTCCTCTGAACCATCAAAATATGTTATGCAAGTCAAGTTCAATTACATAACCCAAAAATATCTTATTGTGTTTCAAAGTGGGGAAAAGGTAATAGGTGTACTTATTGTTTTATGTTGTTTGGTAGAAAAAGCGTGTGAGACTATGAACCGGTCCCGTTTTGAAAGGGGCAGATGTCAGTGCAATAACATTTTAGTTTTTCTAGACATGCATTATGTAATGAAACATTTTGCCTTTTTAAGCATATATATGGCTTAATGGGTTCATTTGAGCCAGTAAATGTTCAGTCCCAGGTACTGTTTGATGTTTTTATTTCTTTTTCATAATAAAACATTAAATGTGCCGCATGACACAAACATTTTGCATGAAAAAGAATGCGAAGACCTTAATCATACATGGTTACAAAGTTGTTATAACATGACATAACTTTAATGGGCATACTTGCAATGGTATATATCATATATAGGTTTTCTTTTGAAAATAAATCATTTTCATAGTGCCTTATTCTTTGCCAAAGCAGTCATTTACACTCTACACGGGACCTGTACCTGCCATTCTCAGAGGTACCCGCCTGTCATTCAAATCAAACTAGTGACTGTAAGTGGACCAACTGAACGGTCGGGCATACATATTTCAGTAGGGGCATGCTGGATGTCCATTTCACTCCAGATAAAGGGGATGGGAGCCGCATCAACACAAGAGCTCACTCACCATTGGAAAAGAGCAGATAAAGTCACAAAGAAAATTTAATGTAAATTCTACTTTGGCCTTTTTCATGCTTAAACTAGCCAACCGCTTGGTTTGCTCTGTCCCCATTGAAACGACAGGTGCAATAATATACTGCACACTATATTGCATTATTAAGTATGTTACTGACATTACAGCACACCTTTATATAAATATTTTATTCAAGATGTTGTATATATGTATACAACCAAACACAAACTGTATAGTGTCGACAAACCTGTTGCATATATGTAAGTAAAATTAGCGATACCAACAGTTCTTGATAGACATAGCCTACTACATGCAGTTCTTCAATGCCATCTTCTTCCCATGCAACAGATGGGACAAATTATCATAACAGCACAAAAGAATTACAAGGGGAAAATAAGAATGTTATTGGAGTCTGGAGACAACATCACACGTGGCCCGTACACAATAGAAATGATCCGAACAGACAAAGAAACCAAATGAACAAGTGGTTACAGAGATTTAAACATTTAAACACCAGTCATTTACAAAAATAAAGTCCGCCAGATTTATTTAAGCTTGCAGGGCTAGGACGACCAGCCCAGCATGTAGAGTTAGCAGGATAGATAGGAAGATGCCATAAAAAGGATTGAAAAATGAGTCCCTGTAAGAACTATAGTGGTCTGCAGTTCTTCTTAGGTAACAGGCAAATGTATGTCATGTGCTTCAATGTGCTGGAATAAAACATGTTGATGTAGAAATAATATGAAAATAATGGAATTGTTGCAGTTTTAGCAGCATACAGCCACAGCATTCTTGTCATTTTTGTATATCCTGTAATTAATATAAAATTTAAAGCAAGACAAATACAAATTGATTGATCTTATTTTGGAAACTGCTAACAGTCTTAAAATGCAATAAACAGAAAATGAGAAACAGAAAGTGCAGTGGGTTTAGATTGGCTGTGAATATGCCATAGCCTACAACATGCCCATTTATCTCCCACACTACTAAACCCTAGATCCACACGTTGTTACTTATAGAAAATGCATGCACGTGATTAATTCAAGATATACATACTTCTTAAAAATGACATCAGTCCAGACCTTTGCTTCTGAACCAAAGGTCTGAGAGGAGGAGAATCTTTCAAAAACTGAACAGATGCTATCACAGTGAGAGCTCCAGTCAATTAAATCAGATTTGTTGTCGTTGTTAAGAATCGTTCCGGGGTGTGAAAGGCTTTGGTCATTTCTGAGTGGTGGTTAATGCTACGTGTTGTCTCAGGGATTAGGGTTTGGCTGTTTGGGTGAGGCACCTTTGGCCCAGTGGGAACTGGGAACCTGTTTTTGCATGCCAGGAGTCAAGGTCCAACAGGCACAGGGTAGGCCAAGATGATCTCTATGGACTCTGCATGCTGAGCTAGGAGACATATCCTCTATTAATAATCATATTATCTAGTTATTTATGAAGCTATATTTGTATTTGTCATTGTCCTTAGGATTTATACAGTGAAAACATTGTATTAGAAGCCATCTTGGGTATAACAGCTGCAAGAAGAGAACACAATATTATTCTGTCCATGCTTTTTTTGCTGAACCAAAATAAGCAGCCATTATTATCACCAACAGTGTCAGCCATGTTGTTTTCTGGCTATGTGCTGCCATGAGATGGCTGCCAGTGCTGCAGACCAGTGGGTCAAAGCCATAAGCCTTGTACTGCAGAGGGACAGAGGCCTACAAGGCCTAGAGATATTCCCCGAGCCCATGCTCAGAAATCTGACAAAGGAAAATATATTCAGGTTGTCTTTACGAGAGCGGGCAGGCTGAACCGCTGGTGGGACTTCAGTGATATGTATACACCATGTTCTACATCACTCTCCTACGCACACGTACGTCCTGTGTGTGTTTATGTGTGAAGAGAGCTCCTTGCATTGATTGCAGTGGCGGTAATTAGCACTTCATCAACTATGATTGCAGGAGCTATCTCCCATCCTACAGTGCTGTTTTATGGGATGTAAAAAAACAACATCATTGATTCCCACAAACGGTCTGTAGCAGTCAGTGTGTCTGCGTGGTGTAGGCAACAAGATTGACTGTGTGTTTTTCTTATACCACATCTGAATCAATGCAATTCTTAGAAAATCACACTCCCCCTCTGCAAAAAAAATATCACTTTTTATAGATAATCTGACAAAGAGACAGGTGTGAGATTAGAAAGATAAAGACAAGGGGAACATACTTGTAAAAAATAGAGGACTACAGTCCAAATATTTTGTCTAGCTATACAGTCTCTATCCCAGAACAAAGCTGGTGACTGTGGTATAGAAAATAGATCTGAAGGTACACACACTCTGCTGCAACAGGGCTTTGGAGACAGGACAGGAAGGACTGTCAGCAAGCAAAGTACCACCAGTGTGTGGCTGTAAAACATGTATAATTCATATGAATTGTCACAGTTTCTAAGGAATCGAAAGGCATTCCATGAGCACAGTCCTCTTCTCTCCCGTCCTGGAGAAACTGCCCACAGATCTGAGACTGTCCAGCGGAAGAGAAGAGGGAGAAGGAGCAGGACGAGAGAGGAGGTCTACTGGGATTTCGTCCACAGAAGAGAGATGAAGAGTCCGTTTGGGAGAGCCCTGCCTCTTCCTCTTGACAGACACAGCCGTGAGGTGTGGCTATGTCGGGGGCTTGTCAGGCTTACTCACAGGTTTGCCTCCGTTCATCACTGCCGGCTCAGTTGTGCTTTTACTGGGAGGTACTGCCGTCTTGGGCACTGTCTCACCTACATCGTGCAACGATGGCTCTCTGTACATGGCAACTGTAGACACAGAAAGACACATTGGCATCCAGTATTAGAGTGATCAACTACTAACAAATAAGCTCTACAATTGCAAATTAGCCTTGGCTATAAATGTTGTAGTGTTTCACATGTTCATAGTGTCCACTTGTCATAATCCAGACATACAAGCAAGTCATAAAAATACAAGCGCTAAAACGGCTGATGAGTGTAGGACAAGGACGGATTGAATAATTTTTTAATAATTGATGAATGAATTGATGGTAAATCACTCCAAGATCCTGACGAGATATACATTGCCTGGCCAGCCAGGCTGCAGGCTTTCAGGCTAAGAAATACGTACATCTACAGTACTGGACAATCATCAGCTCGCTGTTCACGGGGATTGTCTACTGTCTGCTTACTACAGAAAAATGGTGAACCAGCATATAAATCTTACCAACATATTGACCCTGATTTTGACTTAGTAGCTGCAGCAGTTGCCAGTGGAGGACATACCTTCTAATGGCTTGGGCAGGAAGTGAGCAGCTGGTTTGGTTTTCTTCACCCGGTTCCCCTTCATGGCTTGTCCATCTTTGTTAAGTCCTAGGAACCATGCTCGCCCCGACTCCTGTTGTCTGTACAGCATGGATGAGTAGATCACATAGTAGTTCTCAAACACCGACTCTTTGAACTTGCACTCCGCTGTAAAGAGTTCCTGGGATAACACAAAACACAAACATAAAGCATTAGAATTGCACCACATTTAATGTATTAGTTTTTATCGTTTATGTTTTCACCCCATACACATAATAGAGAAGTGATCGGTTCATCTATGACCACAAAATTCCATCACAGTTGTGGTCCTTTTAATATGCAGCTTAGATGCCTGAAGTTGTAACCATTACTTGGGCACAGCTTTTGCATATGTTTTACAAGCAGACTTTCAAGAACAAGCTTGTACTCTATAATGTCTTTAGAGGTCAGTTTAACCTTAAATTGATGCTGTATCAGTAAATATAAAAGCATAGGTGCAATGGAGAGCGCATGGCCATGTTCTGATGTTTTACTCGGATTGAATGCACAACATAGCATGAGAAAGGAGAACATATTCTGTACACCTTTACAAATACCAATACTGAACTGCAGTCCAACTGTTGCCAATGTCCCATTTCCAGTATTTGGACTATTTGTCTTCTGAACTTTGTGGAATAATGATGGGACTAATCAAGTGACTCATGCATTCTTCACAGCTCAAAGTGGCAGTGACAAATGAACACGGAGACAGAGCAGTTCTTGCTGTGGCTGCCCATTCATCTCTGAGCACCAGGCCAATAAAAGTGATTCCACACTGTCCACACTAGTGGGCTGAAAATAAGGGATTCCACTCGGCCATAAAGAATTAAACTATACATGAGTCATAATAATAGGCAGACTTTTCCAGGCCTTGTCCTATTTGGCTGGTGTTTTTCTCTATGAAATGTCTCTTTGTACATTGTATTATAATATTAATACTCATTGGCATATAGGTTCTCTTGCTTTCTGTTCCCACACAAATTCAATCATCTTGACTTGACAGGGAAAAACAAATAATGAATAATGGTTTTAAAACAAATTATATATTGACACTGTACATCACATTACATTCCTTCATAAACGGTGGTGGTAAACTATCATAAAGTCCCAGCTGTCCTCAGGTAGACAGACAGAAACAAGGCTGCCAAAGCGCACAAGTGGTGCCACTGGACCCTCCAACCACCACCAAACATTCACTCACACATCAGATTCAACCTGTCCAATATGGCATGGTTTCAAGCCTAACATTAAAGTGCTAACCAAGCCCTGCATTGCTTTATTTCTGAGTAAAGACCTGACAAGTAGGTCACACTATTTATCATTATTTGTTTTGTGATATATTGTACATATTAATGTATGTACAGTATGATGTATTTCTGTATCACAAACAAACAAACCAATAATGTAAACTGCTATAAAAACAACTTTTTCAGGGACAAATGCCGATAACAAGGTTGTTATCAAGTTGGCTTCCTTTCCAGTATCTGATTATGGTATTATTTATGAACCAAATGCTTAGACCTTAGCACAGGAAAACAGGCCATAATTACAGCCTCATTAAGCCTTTAGTGAATTACTGCTGTCACAGTCTATTCTCTACAGAGCGGGAACATAGGATGACCATAATGAACCATACAAGCAGCTGTGCTCGACCAGTAACACAACAAGAAGCTCTTAAATAATATAAGAAGGTAAGACTCTGTACCCGTAAAGGAGCGTCAGGGGAAGAACTGCCACCTACTTCCTCGATTGTTATAGTGTTTCCTAGAATTTTTTATAAAACCTGGGGAATATCTCATACACAGAAATGACATCATGGAGACATGCGCAGGTGGCACATCCTTCAACCAAAGGAGGCCACAGGTGTGATACATGCATCAGTCCAGTGAGATTACTTCAACAACACAGACAAGCCAGTGTAACCACTATTATTATCCTTTTGGCAGCATAAAAGTGCTGATTGATGGTAAACTACTGAAACTGGATAATTACAGGAATTATTAAAATGTTTTGTGTTTTTTTTAATCACAAACATGCTAATTGTTTTAAGGACAGTTGTGTTTTAACGTTATTATTACAGAAAGAACGACAAATTTTGATGTGTTGACCACAATACTACCTAATAACTTCACTTACGCGCAAAATATCAAACTGAAGTGCCTTGCCAAAGCACACAAGGCATAGTGCAGCTATCATAACAGTGGTCTCCCATTGAAGTACTTACCAGTACTTACTCACTCCTTTATTATTTATGGCGGCACTATTGATCCGGGCTTCAACTGCCGTCACTATTCTATACTTCAGAAGTCCTGTTTCTCTTTTTACCTTTTGTGATCCAACTGACAGTGGTCCAACAACATTATTTTGGTTAATACACGTAAATGTGTTGAAGCTGCTTCTCTGGCCTCGACATTTCCACATTCGTAGGGGTTTGTGTCACCATTCGCTCCAGTCCAGACCATGACAAACTTTCGTACTGGGGTTACCATGGAAACACGGTGGGCTTTACGACCGTATTATACTGCAGAGACAGGGATTTCCCAATGCATCTGTGTACACAAAGCACAGCTCAACCGCACAGTCTATTCAATCTGGCTGCATTACAGGGAAATCCAGCTCACTATATTTTCAGATGCTGAGAAATGTGAATGCTCTGTCAAGAAAAAGAGACTTGAAGTAAGTCTATTTCAATGGAACACATTTGTGAGCTGCTTTAATTAGACATTATATTTATTACAAGGACACATGTGAGTAATGGACATGTATTCATATTTTTGGGAGGGACCAGGATTCCACCCTCTCTGAATACAATATTGTACACTAAAATGAATTAGTATCATGACAAACAGGTCGATTTTCCCCAATGGCTTGGGGCTCCTGCCTAGCTCTCTCCATCAGAGCATCCTTGTGCTGTGATTGGTTCTGCTCTGAATAGGAGCCCCATAATTGACCTTGAACACAGACAGCACGAGGACCATCAAATTTCAGCTGCATATTACCAGCACCTTTAAAGCAGAAAAAAACACAGGCAAATGAAAAGAGAGAGCTTGTTTCAGAGTAGCTATAAAGAAACAGAGGTACATGACGTTATACCATGGCCATAAAGAAGCAAAGATGGGGTGCGCTGGAGTTTCAAATTAAAGGCTATAAAAAAAGTGAGAAGACATTAAAGCATAATCAAGAGCAGAGTCGCACTGGAGGAAAACACCAAACGCATGGTAATTGCTGCCCTGAAAAACTATGTGAGAGCAGGTTCATGCAGGGAGGGAGGGAACCGTGCAAATTAACATGCACAGAATGACAGCTCGCCACCCTACTGTGGAAACCCAGACATTTTTTATTAATGCTGTTGGTATAAAATCTATTAATCCACAGAAAAAAAGGTCAAGCTCCAAGACGAGGCGCATCGACATTGCTAAGCTGCACGCTCAAATGCAGCCCGTCATAAGGGTGCAGTGCGCAGACAATGGGGTCTCGCTGGGACCTGTCTGATTATCAAAGCAGGAGCAGTGCCGCAGACAGCTATCCACTGAGAGGAGTCAAGCGTAAACAGCTGTGGGGAAATAGTGTACACATGAAGGAATACAGTTCAAAAGGCTTGGGAAAGACTGTCCTTTTACATTCCTTAAGGATTGAAATAACAGATTTGAGTTTAGTTACTTAGGGTGCTGATGGATGTCAAAAAGCAAGACCCTTTAAATGGTTTTGGTTAAACTTACTGTATGGCCACCTCAACTGTCCCTTTAGGTGGCACAATTATGTATATCCTTGTCCCTTGTCCCACTTTGTTTTGAGAATTTCATGAACAATACCTCCCACCCACTGCACAGGACTGTAGAGGAGCTGAGGAGCTCCTTCAGTGGAAGACTGAGACACCCTCAGTGTAGGAAGGAGCGCTACCGCAGGGCCTTTATCCCCACCGCTGTCAGACTGTACAATAAGTCACTTTAAATGATCACTGTGTGAAAAACTATTGACACTGTTTCCAATTGACACTTGTCACTTTTGTTGCACATAATTATTGTCACTTTATTGTACATATATCCTGCATGTAACATGTTTGCACATTTCCTCCTTTTGCACAATCTGAGTGTCTCTATCCATGCTAACTGTGACATGTAAATTTCTCCGCTGTGAGATAAATAAAGCACATCTTAACTTATCTTATCTTTGCCATTAACTTGTTTTAATTGTGCATTAGTATCAAATATTTACAAATATTTAGTCATTATTCTGGACAGAAAACCACATTTTTGGGGGTCCTGGCTGTCTGAGTTGTACCAGATATAATCTATTGCTATTCCGTTTTATGAAATAAATAGCTATCATGCTTTTTTGTAGAGCTCTTCTAAAACCTAACTTTTATATGTGGATCAGACCGTTCCAACCACATTCGTCAACTTTTTTAGTGATGTGCCTGGTTGTCTATTGGATGCCTTTTCCTACACTATCCTCAAGAATACATTGGATATTTGTCACAGATGCTTTGCATTGCATTATTAATCCACTCCCACCACAGTAGCCACAGCTGCCCTGAGATTGACTCACAGAGATTATGGCTTCCTATCAGTTACAATTGCCTTTAGCCATATCAGAGCTAAAGTCAGTTATCAACTAGGGGTCACTTATTATTTCTCTAATATAAGTCTTTAAGGCCGGAGGGGGTCCGGTTTGGAGACCACAGGATTTCATCTCTGCTGTTTGCGGACGATGTTGTCCTGTTGGCTCCAACGAACCAGGACCTGCAGCATGCACTGGGACGGTTTGCAGCCGAGTGTGAAGCGGCTGGGATGAGAATCAGCACCTCCAAATCCGAGGCCATGGTGCTCGACCGGAAAAAGGTGCCTTGCCCTCTACAGGTGGGTGGAGAGGCCCTTCCTCAAGTGGAGGAGTTCAAGTATCTCGGGGTCTTGTTCGCGAGTGAGGGAAGGATGGAGCGTGAGATTGACAGGCGGATCGGTGCAGCGTGCGCAGTGATGCGGTCGCTGTATCGGACCGTTGTGGTGAAGAGGGAGCTGAGCCGAAAGGCAAAGCTCTCGATTTACCTGTCAATCTTTGTTCCCTCCCTCACCTATGGTCATGAGCTTTGGGTAATGGCCGAAAGAACGAGATCGCGGATACGGGTGGTCGAAATTTGTTTCC